CCAGGAGGATGACCGGGAGCTCCTCGCCCGCCAAGGCGTCCACCAGTTCCTGCGCCTGCGCCACCCGCGGCCCCGGATCGACGGACTCCAGGTGGGTGTTCACGATCCGGTAGGTGACGTCGTCGATCGTGGCATCGATGGCGACGTAGCCTCGCGCGACCTCCAGCCCGAGTGGGGCGATCGGCAGCCCCGCCGCGTAGTTCGCGGCCGTGGGCCGCGACACGACGACGTCGCCGCGGGTCAGGATCACGTCGAAGTCGGGTCAGTCGCACATCGGTGACCTTGCCGGCGGCGAGCATCGGCATTTCGAGGTCCAGGTTCTGGACCTTCGCGGCTACCTGGTAGTCCAGGCCTTCCGCATGGAGCGCGTCCATGAGGATTCGAGGTAGTCGAGATCGATCTCCTCGGCGTTCGGCGACCGGGTGGTGAGGAAGTCGCCCGGGTCCTGCCGGCGGATCAGCTCGATCTCCTGCAGGCCGATGACGTGCGGGCTGCGACTCCTTGACGATGGCGGCGATCGCCGCGGCGCGCGCCGCGAAGTCGGAGGCGATCACGTTGCCGTACAGCTCGCCGACGACCACCGGAATCTGGAACAGGTTCTTCGTTTCCAGCGCCGGCTCCGCGCTGCTGCCGACGTAGACGTTGTACGTCATCACCGTCACGGGGACCTCGGTGGACGCTCGATCGTCCGGCATCCCACCAGGACGAGCAGTAGCGGTGCGAACAGCGATAGAGCGACAATGATCTTGAGCCTTGGCATGCGGTTCCTCCGATCGGGCTGTCGTCGAGCAGGCGGCGCAGAGCCCGACCGAGGGTAGAGCACCCGATGCCGGACGAGCAATGCAGCGCGGAGCATCCTGCCTTGGCTAGGGCCGAGCGTTTCCGGCATCCTGCGGGCCATGCTGATAGACGCCCACAACCATCCGAACTGGCACGGCCACGACGCGACGGCTGCTCGCCAACATGGAGGAGCACGGCATCGACCAGATGTGGCTGTTCTCCTGGGAGGTGCCCGCCACCGACTACAATCCCAGCTACCACGCCGTGCTGCCGCCCGGCGGCGTGGGCATCCCGCTGGAGGACGTCCTGAACGTCGGCCGTGCGGCTCCGGACCGCTTCGTGCTCGGCTACATGCCGGACGTCAAGGGCCCGACGCCATCGACCGGATCAAGGCGGCGGTGGAGATCCACGGCATCCGCATCGCGTCGGAGCTCAAGCAGCGCGTGCTGTTCGACGACCCCGACGCCCTGGACATCTACCACTTCTGCGGCGAGCAGAAGCTGCCCATCACCATCCACCTGGATTACCCGATCCCCACGGGACACCGCTATCCGCGCCCCAACTGGTGGTACGGAGGCTCCCTGGACAGCTTCGAGCGCGCCGTCGCCGCGTGTCCGGAACCATCTTCATCGGCCACGCGCCCGGGTTCTGGGGGCACATCTCGGGCGACGACCGCTGCATGACAGAGGCGTACCCGGAAGGGCCGGTCAAGCCGGGCGGGCGGGTGCTGCATCTGCTGGACACCTATCCCAACCTGTACGCCGACCTGTCGGCCGGCTCCGGCCTGACGGCCATCTCCCGCGATCCGGAGTTCGGCAAGCAGTTCCTGATCCGCTACCAGGACCGCCTGCTGTTCGCCCGCGACTACGTCGACGGCCGCCTGATGGAGTTCCTGCAGAGCCTGAACCTGGAGCAGGAGGTGTTCGACAAGATCGCCTACCGCAACGCCCAGCGCCTGCTCGGGGACGCGGAGTAGCGCTCAGGTCTACGAAGCCGGGCGCGGGCCGTCAGCCTTGCGGTCGGGCAGTGATCAACTGAACACGCCGTGTCGAAGTCTGCCGATGAGTTGCTCGACCTCTCGCTCGCCGGCTTCCGTCGAGGCGCAATGCAGAGGGGTCTCGTCGCCAAGCAGTGCTTGTGGCGTGGTCAGCCATCGCCGGGTGGCTTCCTCGTCACCGCGCATCAAGGCCCGGACCATGTCAGTCAAGCGGTCGATGCGTACGACGCGATCGGATTGGCTTGGCGTCTGTCTGACCATAGGTATCGCTTCGTGACACTACGCCCCTGGGGCTCGCCCGGCAATCGCGCTCCGTGGTCGCCAGCGGTGATACCCTGAGCCGGCAGGTGCATGCCTGCGAGCGAATGGAGGTGACTGGCGTCATGGACTACCGCCGCTTCGGCGAGCACGAGATATCGGCCCTGGTGCTCGGGACCGTCCAGTTCGGGCTGGACTACGGCGTGGCCAACACGACCGGCAAGCCTTCGCAGGCGACCGCGAACGGCATGCTCGCCACGGCGTTCGAGGGGGGCGTGAACACGCTGGACACCGCATCGATGTACAACCAAGCCGAGACCGTGCTCGGCCGCGCCCTCGGCGATCTGGGAGTGCGCGACCGCATCTTCATCTGCAGCAAGGCGCGCCCTCACGAAGAGGCGTCCGGGACGCCGGAGGAGCAGATCACCGCCGCCGTGGAGCGGTCGCTGCGCGTGCTCGGGGTCGAGCGGATCGGGCTGTACCTCCTGCACGGCTATCACGCGCTGCCGTACGTGGGGGCGCTCCATCGCAAGCGCGAGGCGGGCGACATCGGTGCGGTCGGCGTGTCCGTCTACTCGGTGGAGGAGGCGCTCGGGGCGATCGCCACGCCCGGCATCGACGCCATCCAGCACCCGGTCAGCATGCTCGACCAGCGGTTCCTGCGCGCCGGGGTGCTGCAGCGGGCGGCCGAGGCAGGGGTCGCGATCTTCGCGCGCAGCGTCTACCTGCAGGGCGTGGTGACCATGGCGATCCCGGACCTCCCGAAACCGATCGCGGAGGTGGGCACGACGCTCATCCGGCTGCGGGAGCTGGCAGGCGAGCTCACGATCGAGGAGCTGGCCCTCCGCTACGTCGCATCGCTCGGCGGCGTCACCGGCGTGGTGGTCGGCATGGAGACGGACGAGCAGATGGAGCGCAACCTGGCCGCCGTCCTGGCCGGTCCGCTGGACGACGGGCTGTTGGAGGCGATCCGAGAGGAAGTGCCGGATCTCCCGGAGGAAATCATCAACCCAGGACTCTGGCGGTGGATCCGCGACTACGACTGGGGTGGGCGCTGAGATACGGCGAGCTCGATGCGCCGCGCTAGCGAGTCGAAGTCCTCGACGCACTTCTGACGAATCGCTGAGATTCGCCGTGCTGCCTCTTCCCCCAGTCGTCTGCGGCCGGCTCCGGGGCCGTCGGCCACTCCGCGCGCTCTGGCGAGTACGTCGAAGTACTGCTCTTTGACGTGAGTCTCGGCGCGCACGTCGGCCCACGTCCAGCCTGAGGGCAGTTCCAGCCCGGCCAGAACCCACGTCTCCACCTCTTCCCAAGCGTTCTCGGCGAGAAAGGTGGGAGCGCCTGCAAACTTGCCTTCCAGGTCATCGAGCCGCTGGCGTCGCCCCGTCACTCCGTCTCGATCCACGCACAGAATGAAGAGGTCCGTCGTTCCTCCGTAGCGTTCCACGATCTCGCGCAACAGGTCTATCTTTAGCGCCTCCCCGACGCCTCCGAGCAAAGGATCTTGGCAGACTTGGACCTGCGCACTTGATCTGCCGATCGATCGAAAGAGCCGGTCGAACAGCGGCTTGAGGATGTACTGATCCTTGCGGAAGTCCTCCGGGATGATGAGGACGTCCACGCAGGCTGCTCGTCGTCGTTCTTGCGGCGCTCGGTGAAGGCGAGCTGCGTTCTCCATCACAGACGTGTGATGAGACGTTCGCCCCAGGCTGTGACGAGTCGCGCAACTCCGTAGCCACTGTGTAGCGTAGGCTAGCGGACCCGGCCCGATGATCGCGGTCGTGGTCGTGTCCGGAGCCTCGCACACGACGGACGTGTGTCGAACGTGGTTGTCCGGTCGCGCTCCTGCTGAGAGACAGCTCGGGAGGAGTGCTTGCGTGGCGTCACACTGGGTTCGCGCCCTTCGCGGTCTGCCCTTACAGATGAGTGTCGAGCAGCAGCGGCAGCCGTGAAGGGTGGATGGCGTTGTCGATCTCCTCGAAGAAGTAGAGGCGAGCCGGATCGGTTCCGAGGAGCGCAGCCAGGATGGCGAGAAAGCGCAACGTGCCGTCCGAGGCGCTGTAGGCCGACACCCGCCTACCGTCTGCATCCCGGATCAAGAGCTGGACTCGGCCACTGATCGGGTCGACCGGAAACTCGAAGTCCCGTATGTCCATGGGTGTCAGCTCGCGGGTCCACTCGGTGAGCGTTTCCCTGCGCTCCGGATCGGCACAGATTTCCCGCAGGACGGTCGGCAGGTTCTCGCCGCTGTCGCCCAGGATGGTTTGTCCGGGGAACGATGGCTGCCGGATGCGATCCGGAGACAGATCGAGAAAACGCATGCTGGCGAACGAGTCGACTGTCCCCATGATCAGGCACTGTGGGTGCGCGCGCGCCACTCGCTTGACGTCCCGGAGTTGAGTGAGAGCCGGTTGATCGGGCCGTACTTCTACGCGATGGCCAAGTCTCTTTTGCGGCCCCGTCCTTGCCATGCGCAGTTGCAGGTGCCTGTCGTCGTCTTGTTCCGGAAGATTATCGCCTGAGAACAACGGGTTACTCGAGTAGATTTGTTCGTCTGGATCCGACTCCAGGATTTCCGCGCCCACTTGGAAACCACCTTGATCCCGATCCTTCGTGAGGACCCAAATCGTGTACCTGAACTCGGTCTCAATTACCGTTCATACTCGCGGTCAGGTACACCAGAGTGCCAAACCCGGTACCTGCGGAAACGGCTGATGATTTCGATGGGCGCGCGCCACGTATCTGCTCCCACTCGACGTGTCCGCCGGCTCCATATTTGCCGCCGATGATGTCGGCGAGCGCGTAGCCGCGACCGATGCCGTGTAGGATGCGGAAGGCGTCGCGAATGTTGCTCTTGCCGCTGGCGTTCGCGCCGACGATGACGGTGAACGGGCCGACGCTCAGCGTCTCGTCGGCGAAGTTCTTGAAGTCGTGGAGCTCAAGCGCCGTGATCATTGGTGCGAGTCTAACCGTCCGTGGCTGCTGTCTTCACCGCAGGGTCGCGCAGGGCATCGGCCACCGCCTCGACCAGCTCGTCGATCATTTGCGGCGTGGTCGGGACGGAGATCGAGCACATCCCCAGGGTGTGGCCCAGGAAGAAACCGCGGTCGAGCAGGGCCAGGAACAGCGGCGATACCCAGCGCTTGTCGGCGTCGAGCGATGAGCGGTAGTCGCGCGGCGGCTCCGGGCGGAAGTGGATGGCGAACGCGGATCATTGTTGTGCGCCGACGCCGGCACCGGGCAGGCGGTCAGCGCCTTCCGCAGCCCGCGCGTCAGGCGGTCGCCCAGGCTGGCCAGGTGCTCGAATGCCGCCGGCGTGAGCTCGCGCAGCATCGCCAGACCGGCGGCCATAGTCACCGGATGGCTGGCGAAGGTGCCGCTCTGGCCGACGCCCGGGCCGGCGGTCGGGTGGTAGCGGTCCATGATGTCGGCGCGTCCGCCGAACGCTCCCACCGGGAAGCCGCCGCCGACGATCTTCCCGAACGTGGTCAGGTCGGGCGTGATGCCGTAGTACTCCTGAGCGCCGCCGCGGGCCAGCCGGAAGCCGACGATCTCGTCGAAGACCATGAGCACGCCGTGCCGGGTGGTGATCTCGCGCACGCCCTCGGATGAAGTCCGCCGGCAGATCCAGGACCCCGGTCTTGGGGTCCAGCAGGACGCACGCCAGCTCGGCGGCGTGCTCGCCGATCAGCCGATCGGTCGCCTCCAGGTCGCCGAGCGGCAGCACCATCGTGTCGGCCACCGCCCCGGCCGACATGCCGATCGCCTGCGCGTAGGGCAGCGGTCGCTCGGCCGGGCCGGCCGCCTCCAGCGGCGGCGCGACGCTGACTTCCACCGCGTCGTGGCTGCCGTGATAGCAGCCCTCGAACTTGGCGATCAGGTTCCTGCCGGTGAAGGCGCGCGCCAGGCGGACCGCGTGCAGGCTCGCCTCGGTCCCGGAGTTGGTGAAGCGCGCCCGTTCCAGGCTTGCCACGCGGCTGCACAGCTCCGCGCACACCTCGGTCTCGTGCCCCATCGGCGCGCCCACGGCGACGCCGCGCTGCAACTGCGCCTGCACCGCCGCCATCACCGCGGGGTGGTTGTGGCCCAGGATCTGGCCGGTGTGGTGGTTGGCGAAGTCGGCGTACCGGTTGCCGTCCACGTCGAACAGATACGCACCGTCGCCACGCTCCATGGTCAGCGGGTAGGGGCGGTAGAAGTAGGCGCCCTTGGCGACGCCGCCCGGGGTGGCGTCGGCGTGGGCCGAGAAGCGCTCCAGGGAGCGGGGAGTGGCGGCGAAGAAGCGCGCCTCGAGGTCGTTTGCGGGTTTCATCGTGAGACTCCGAGGCCCGACTATAGCAGTCTGTGGCCCGCGGAGCGCCGATGCACACCGTGAATGACGGCGCTACTATCGCCTCCATGTCGAACATGAACGTCGTGTGCATCTGCCTGGACACGTTCCGGGCCGACATCGTCGGCGAGGGGAAGAAGTACAGCCACGCGCGGACGCCGAACCTCGATGCCCTGGCCGCGCAGAGCATCCGGTTCACGCGCGCCTTCGGCGAGTGCCAACCCGACGCTGCAGATCCGGCGCGGGCTGTTCACCGGCCGGCGCAGCTTCCCGTTCCGCTACAACTTCGACCGCCGCGGCCACTGGCACCACGCGCCGGGGTGGCACAAGATCCCGCCCGACCAGGACACCATCGCCGAGGTGCTGCTGGCGCGCGGCTACCTCACCGCGCTGATCGCCGACACCTACCACATGTTCAAGCCGACGATGAACTACTCGCGCGGCTTCGCCCACCTCGACTTCGTCCGCGGGCAGGAATCCGACAACTGGAAGAGCGGGATCCGCGCCTCGTCGAGGAGGAACTCCGCAACCACGTGCGCGAGCCGATCGACTGGCCGCGGCACGCCACCCTGGTCAACTACCTGCTCAACCAGCGCCACCGGCAGTCGGAGGACGACTACAGTTGCGCGCGGGTGTTCCGCGCGGCGTGCGACTGGCTGCACGACAATCACGCGATGAAGCCGTTCTTCCTGTGGATCGACAGCTTCGATCCGCACGAACCGTGGGATCCGCCCAAGGAGTACGCCGACCTCTACTGTCCCGACTACGCCGGCAAGGACTTCATCATGCCCGGCGCGGCACAGGAAGGCGCCGGCGCCTCGGAAGAAGAGCTGCGCCGCATCGAAGCGCTCTACCTGGGCGAGGTCACGTTCGTGGACAAGTGCGTGGGCCAGCTACTGGAAAAGCTGGACGAGCTCAAGCTGTTCGACGATACGCTGGTGATCTTCCTGTCCGATCACGGCACGCAGCTTCGCGACCAGGGCCGCTTCGGCAAGTCGGATCGAGAGCTGCATCCGTTCAACACGCAGTTGAACCTGTGCCTGTGCCATCCAGGCGGGCCCGCCGGCAGCGACGTCACGGCGCTGGTCCAGAACCACGACCTGATGCCGACCATTCTGTCGCTGCTGGGCATCCCCTGCGGCTGGACCGACGGCGAGGATCTCTGGCCGCTGGTGACCGGTGAGAAAGCGGCGATCCGGGAGCGGATCGTCACCGGCTGGGCGGACGGGCTGCCCGGCAACGCGCGGGCGCGCGTGAGCGTCCGCGACGACCGCTGGAACTTCTGCACGGCGGTCGGGTATGAGGACGAGGCGGGAGACGAGTTGTTCGACCTCAGCACCGTACCCCGAAGAGCGCAACAACGTCGCGGCCGACCATCCGCAGGTGGTAGCCGAGTGCCGAGCCGAGGTGGAGGCGCTGATCGGCCAGCCGCTTCCCGGGACGATGGTGGAGGTATCCGATCCGGCCGCGGGGCCGATGATCGACTGGCTGAACCGCAAGCTGCGTGACTTGTAGCGATGAACGAAGTCACTCCGACGGCGACGGAACGCGCCGCGGAGCGGTTCGGTGACGCGTTGCAGCGGGCGGTCACGGCGCTGCAGGCAGACGGATTCGTGGTGATCAACGACGTGGTCGACCACACCCACCTCGATCGGCTGCGGGAGCGGATGAGCGAGGACCTGGAGAAGATTCGCGCCCTGCCGGTGGTGCCGCACAACTTCGTGTGGGGCAACATTCAGCAGAACCCGCCGCCGGATGCCGACCTGGTGTTCCGTGACGTGATGGCCAACCCGTTCGTGTGCCAGGTGACCCGCGCGGTGCTGGGCAGCGGCGCGTTCAACAACTGCCTGACCGGCAACACCAACATCCCCGGCAGCGGGTTGCAACCGGTGCACGTCGACGATGGGCAGCTCTGGCCGCACCTGAGCGTGGCGCATCCGCCGGCGCGGCTAGTGGTGAATGTGGCGTTGAGCGAGACCACGGAGGAGAACGGCGCCATCGAACTGTGGCCGGGTACGCACCTCGACACGCGTATGGTGATCGGCAACAACATACGGGTGCCGGAGCAGCAGGTCGCCGCGCGGCGAGCGGTGCGCGGGCCGCTCCTGGGGGCTACCCGCAAGGGCGCGGTGCTGATTCGGGACATGCGGCTGTGGCATCGCGGCACGCCCAACCACAGCGCTGCGACCCGTTTCATGATCGCCATGATCCACACCGTGGCGTGGTATCGGCGGGGCTCCCGTTGCGAACTGGCGCAGGAGTGTGCGCCGGTGTTCACCGGCTGCGCCATCGAAAACGTGATTCCCCTGGTGGCCGTGCCAAAGGACCACCTGACCGGAAACAGGCCGTACGAGTACTCCGGTCCCAACTGAGAGCGCTACAGACCCCACCGCTTGCGGGCCTCGGCCATCGGGATGGCCGCGGTCCCGTAGTGGCCGGTGGGGGAGTCTCCGCCCCAGCGTGCGTCCATCGGCTCCGAGGCCGGCTGATAGCGGACGTCGCAACTGATGCGGAAGCGGTTGGTGGTGTTGTTGTGGAGCCGTGCAGGGTGTAGAGGCCGAAGTGACGATGTCGCCGGCGCGCACGTCGGCGGTGAGCCAGCGGCCGCCGAACCGTTCGCGGATCTCTTCCGGGTCCTCGCTGAACCAGCCCTCGGTGCGGTCGCGATCCACGTCGGACCTGCCGTACGTCGCCCGCACCCTGGCGAAGCTCTCCAGGCGGTGCGATGCCTCGCACACGGCCAGCGTGCCATGCGCGATCGGGATATCCCCGAACGGGATCCACACGGTGTTCACGCGCTCGCTGCCCAGGCCCATGTACACCACGTCCATGTGTGAGCCGGTGAACTTCTCGTTCCCCACCGCCCGCAGCCACTTGTGGTCGAAGGTCGCCGGCTCCTCACCATAGAAACGGCGATAGAACGACTGCAACTCCGGTCCTTCCAGCACCCGCAACACTTCCGGACGGTAGGCGACCCGTTTCATGCCGACGCTCCTGCCGTCGCGCGGCATCACGCCCTCCATGAGCGGGGTGCCCTCGACCAGCGCGTCCTGCTCCCGGAGGTACTCCATCACCGCGCGGCGCGCCTCCAGGACGGCGTCGCGGTCGATCAGCCCGCGGATGAACAGGTAGCCGTCCGCGGCGATGCGCCGGCGCAACTCGTCGACGTCTGCCAGCGCGTCGGTGCTGTCGCGCAGGTAGCCGAACTGGGCGGTGGGGAACTCCATCTGCGTGCGTTGAAACTCGACTCGCATGGGTGCGGGCCACATATTGTCCCTGCACCGGATTGGCCATCAACCCGAGGGCGGGAGATCGGTCACAGAGACGCGTGCACCAAAGGGAGCAGGTGGCGTCGCTCTACTCAGACGGGGATGAGGTAGACCGGCTGTTGTCGATCGGTCGGAAGCAGGCTCCTGAGTCCGGCGTCGCACGTGGCCAGTTGACCGCCGTGCTGCATTGCGAGCGCGAGCAGCATGGCGTCCGTGATCTGCCGGACCCCTGGATGCGCATGAGGATTTCGTCCGGGAGCGATATGATCGGGCGATCGTGGGACCAGAACGCATGCGACTCGCGGCGCCTCAGCCTGCGCAACAGAGCGATCGCGTCGAGCGGCGTCACCTCCTGTTTGACCGAGGAGGGGTTGCAGGAGACGCGTACGGGTCTTCAGGAATTCGTGTGGAAGGACGTCACATGAGGACCGGCGGGTAGAGATTGAGGCCGCCGAGAACGCCGAGCCGGGAGTGGCAGCGGACGGTGTCCCGCAGCAGGACGCCGCGGAGGAGTCGATGACGACCTCCGCCGCGGCGAGGTTCACGGTTCCTGATTCCTGAACCCTGCCGGCGGCATTGCGGCACGCGCACCGGCGCCAAGAAAGTCGAGAAATCGTGCCGCGGGGACTTGACGGGGTTTTGCGCGTGCGAGGTGGCCCGCCACCGCACGTTCCAGCCCCTTCCGGCCTCCGAAAGCTCACGTGTCCCTTCGGCTGCACAGCACCCGGTTCAGCGCGCGCTGCGCGCAGATCATTGCCGGTCCTGGACGGGAGAAGACGTGTATCTCAAAACCGGTAGTATATTTACGGCATGAAGACCGCACCTCTCACCACCGCCACCCGGCCCGCCATCACCTCCACCGTCGGCGCCCTCTCCGACCGCGAGCTGCTGCGGGAGACCAGGAACCTGGTCCGCCACGAACGGCACCTGCAAGGCGCCGTCATCGACCACTGGCCGAGATCGAGGCGCGCGGGCCTGTATCTGCAGCGAGGCTTCTCCAGCCTGTTCGACTACGCGGTGCGCGAGCTCGGCTACAGCGACGCGGCCGCCGCTCGGCGCATCGGCGCCATGCGGCTGTGCGCCGATCAACCGGACGCGCGGGAGGGGTTGCGCGACGGCTCGCTGACGCTGAGCGCCGCCGCGGAGCTGCAGTGGGCGTTCGACCGGCAGCGGCGCCGCGGGTCGATCTCCGGCACCGCGGCGATCGCACCGGCGGGGACGATCCGGCGCCAGACTCCGCGCCGGCCGTACCGTTGCCCCCCGCCGAGCCGGAGCCGCCGCCGCTGGTGCTGGATGCGGTGGGGCGGCAGAAGCTGGTGGAGGAGGCGGCCGGCAAGAGCGCCCGGCAGGTCCGCCAGATGCTGGCCGACCTGGACCCGGAGCTGGCGCCGCCGGCCGACCGGGTGCGCCCGCTCGGCGACGGCCGCTACGAGCTGAAGGCGGTCATCGACGCGGACTGCCAGCAGGGGCTGGAGCAGCTCCGGGGGCTGCTCTCGCACGTGGACCCGCGCATGACGCTGGGGCAGCTCGTCGGACGCCTGGTCAAGGAGGGGCTCGACCGCCACGACCCGAGCCGGCCACCGCGCCGAGCGCGCAGCGGCAGTCGGCCCGCGGACGCGAAGGCAAACGCCCCGCGAACTCCGACGCCGGAGCAGGCGCAACGGGCGCAGCGCTCCGGCGGCGAAGCACGCCGCGCGTCCGGCGGACACCGCGGCGGCGCCGAAGACCGACCCGGACGCCGGCCACCACGCCGCTCCGACCCGGCGCGGGCGGTTCGGCCGATACCGACCTCGCGCCGCGCCGCCGAGCACCCAGGAGGAGACGGCCCGCCGAGCCGCTACCGGGGCGAAGCCGACGGGCGCCGCCACTCCGGCGGCGAAGTCATGCGCTTCGGGCCGCGCGATTTCGGCGGCTGTCAGACGACAGGTGTGGCAACGCGACGGCGGGCGCTGCAGCTACGTCGATCCACAGACCGGGCGCCGTTGCAACTCAACGCATCTGATCGAGATCGACCACATCGTCCCGCATGCGCTGGGCGGCGGCGCCGATCCCGGGAACCTCAGACTTTTATGCGGAGCCTGTGATAATGCGGAGTAGACGGCGGCGAATCGCTGATCTGATGAGGTTCAGGCAGCTCTAGCGGGAGTTGCAGTAGCCAAGACTCCGCATTATCGCGCCCCTGCAAGCAAGACATCGCAAGGTGGCGCTGTGGTTGGGGCACGGCGATGTGCGCACCACCGAGGTCTACCTGCGCGTGGATCCCACCGAAAAGCTGGAGGCCATCGAAGCCGTGCTGCCGCCGGAACTCCGCCGCGGGCGATTCAAGCCGCCTGACGCGCTGATCGCCTCGCTTCTGGCACCGGGATAATGCCCAGCGATGCCGGCCTCAACAGCCCTTCCCGCAAAGAATTAAGTCATGCGACCTCCGCATTATCCCGGACTCCGCATTAAAGTCTTAATGCGGAGCTCCGCATTAAGACTTCTCTGTGGAGCCCATCACCGCCACCGGCACGCGCAGGGCAGGTCCCCGCGTGAGCCTGCACCGTGACCGCTGCTCCCCAAGGGCGCGCCTCGGTCGGTCTCACCCACACGAAACCCGGAAGACCCACGCGTACGAACCCGGCTTCAGTGACCGGACATGTCGCCCACCCGGTGGCGCGGCTCTCCGCGAACCATGAGCGGGCCGCGTCGTGGTGTACGTGATTGGGCCAGGCGAGCGCAATCAACACGTTGACGTCGGGCAACGCGATCATGGCCAATCGGTGAGCGCCCTCCGGACATCTTCGCTGGTGATTGGGCCCGCATCGGGAGCGACCCGAAAGGTCGGGACGTCGCCTGTGTCGTCGGTTTCCGCCCGCCTGAAACCACGGCGCGCGAGGACGGACAACGCGTTTCCCAGGCTGCTGCCGCGTCTCTGCGCGAGCGCTCGGGCAACAGCGAGCACATCGTCGTCAATCGTCAGGGTGGTGCGCACGAACGCATCATCGCATCATCACACCAAGTGCCAGAGGAGGTGACCGGCAGGACCGTCTGCTCCGGGCGCACCATCAGCAGGCAACGGGTAGGCTTCCCTCAAGTGTGTGACATCACCGAGCACGCTCTGCTGATCGTGAAACCGGATGGTGTGCGGCACCCCCAGTTTCCGAGGATTCTCGAGAGGCGGCTGGCCGAACTGTCGCTTCGTCAGGTCGCAACCCGGGACCTCACCATGACCAGAGAGCAGGCTCGCACACTCTGGCGGGACGGTGACGTCGAGGAATACATCGCGTCTCTGCGCGACGGTCCCTCACGGGCGATCGTCGTCAGGGGAAAGCAGGCCACCTGGAAATGCAGGCGGCTCAAGTCGGAACTGCGTAAGGAGCTGAACTGCAGCGGCCACAGAAACTTCGTCCATTCCACGGAACCGGGCAACGAGTACGACGAGCAGTTCCGCCGAATGTTTCCCGAGTTGAGGATCGATCAACATGGGATCTTCATCGATCAGATCGCCGTCGTGACACCAGATCGTTTCCACTCTTTCCTGAGGAAAGCCGCGGACCCGACGACGCCCAAATTGGCGCCGGTAGTGACCGGGAGTCAGGCGATGGACCAGGCGCACCGGCTCGCTGCCTGGCTGCGCGGTCCCGAAACGGTGCCGTACGCCGGTATCCTGATCCGCGGGTTGACGTCGTCCCGGCACGACGACATCAGCGTCATCATGTATCTCGGACGGAGCTCCGACGTCGACGTGCCCGCTCGGTTTCCGCGGGAGCTGACCGCGCTGTCTGCCATCGCAAAGAGCATCGGAGCCGTCACGGTGCTGTTACCTGGAGTCGAAGATGCGTTCCTCCAGCCTGACGTGATGGCGAGCGTACGAGACTGCGGGGTGAGCGGCGTAGTGTAGTGTGTCCGAGGAAGTGCATGACGCACTAGCCGCGTCACTGGTCAGGCCAGGTCGCGGATGATCTCCTGAGCGGCGTTGTGTCCGGGGATCCCGGAGATCTCGCCTCCAGGGTGCTGGCCGGCTCCGCACAGATAGAGACCGGGGAACGGCGCGCGATAGCTGGAGAGCTCGGGTAGCGGGCGGTTCCAGAAGAGCTGGTCGCCACCGTGCTGAATGTGCCAGATGCACCCGTCGGTGAGCCCGTTGTCGCGCTCCAGATCGGCCGGCGTCCGCAGCTTCAGGTGGAGGATCGATCTGCGGAAGTTCGGCGCGTAGCGGGTGATCTGATCCACCAGTCGTTCGGCCACCCGGTCGCGCACCGTGTCCCAGTCGGTGTCCTGCAGCCTGGCGGGGGCCGGGTAGATCCACACCGAGGCCGTGTGCCGGCCGCCGGGTGCCAGCGTCGGATCGAGCGCGGACGGCACCGAGAAGTTGATGATCGGTTCGGCCGGGGGGCGGCCGGCGGCGCAATCGGCGTAGGCGGCATCGACGCTCGCTTCGCTGCGGCCAAGCCCGACCACGCCGCGGCTCGGCAGCGCGGGATCTCCGTCCCATGCGTGCCAGTGCGGGAGCTCGTCGACGGCCGCCAGCAGCTTGTAGCAGCTCACCTCTGTGACCAGGGCGCTGACGCGGCGCCGGAGCTGCGCGGTCGTCAGTTCCGGCGGCACGAGCCGCAGGAAGGTCCGCTTCGTTGGACCCTAGATTGGACACCACGCAGCGCGCCGTCACCGCCGTGCCGTCCGCGAACCGCATTCCGGTCGCTGTGTGCCGCTCGCAGAGCAGCGTAGCCACCGCCTCGGCGTCCGTGTGGATGCGAACGACCGCGCTCCCTCGACCGCTGCGCGCATGAGTGGTGATGCGTTCCGATCCCGCCCTCGATGTACCGTTGTGCGAGGGTGTTCGCCCGGTACACGTGCCGGCACGTCAAGGTCGAGATCGACCCGTAGGCCAAAGCCAGCGCACCCGGGTCATGGCCGATGGCGGCCGCCTCTGCCGCATGGCGGTCGCGCAGCCTGCGCGTCGCGAGGTATCGGTGGCGGAGGTGCCTCACCGTCCGGGTCAGGGCATCTTCCAGAAGCGGGCCATCGCCGCGGGCCGCCGCGTCGGAGCGGACCTCGGCGAGGGTCGGGGGCGGCCGCATGCGATACGGAGCGAACAGTTCGCACAGCCGCCGCTTCATGTCCGCGTAGCGACGTTCCGCCTCGATCTCGTCCGGAGTGAGCTGCAGCGAAAGGTTGCGCGGGGATTTGTGATCGTCCGGGCCCCAGTACTCGCCGTCCGGCATCGGCACGAGCGACCCGGTGCGGGGAATCTCCACCATGCCGCGCTCTGCGAGGCCGCAGGTCCGCCTGATCCGGGATCCGTGCGTGCACCATGGGGGCGCAGGTCGAGATCGGGACGCCAGCAGCTCTTCGTGATGAGCCGCCCGCCAACGAAGGACCGTCGCTCGACAATCCCGACCCGGAAACCGGCGCGGGCCAGATACCACGCGGCGGTCAGACGTTATGGCCGCCGCCGACGATTCGCGACCGTCCAGGTCATGCGCATCTACGTGCAGCGCGCACAGCATATGCTGCAAGAGTGCGACCCCGTCCTCCCTCGCCGGCGCCGCGCTACTTCTGACGCGCCGGCAGTCAGCAGGTCCGACCGCGAACCCGGCCCCACGGCGGCGCGCGCAGCGTTCAGTCCTCACGCGACAAGGACCGTGCCGGCAGCGCCGAGCGCCTCCTCGATCTGTTCCGGCGTCTTGATGCCGCATATCGCGCGTGTGGTCGACGGATGCTGTATGTACGGTCGCGGCACGAACGAGCTGGTAGATCGAAAGCTCGTACCGAACTCCGCGATCGGGCGAGGCTCCGCACGTTCGCGCACATCTCGGCGAACCGCGCGCCTGAAAATCGGGATGGTGGCGCGGAGTCGGTGAAGGTCTCGGTGCCCAGGTACTTGCGCGAGAGAGCAGACCCTGTGCCATGCGCGAGTAGACCATCACGCGATGCCTCTCGGCCTGACTGTACGGGCACAGCAGTCGTCTCTCGCCGGCCGCGGGTCATCAGGCTGTACGGCGTCGCTGAACCACGGAGTAGTCGCCGAACGGCGCTAGGCGCGCCGGAACTGACTCGACGCTGTGAGTGCGTCACGCGTAGGCGCGATCTTGCCTGCGCGCCGCAGGCGGGCGAGTTGCCCGTGGGTCTCCTGCGCAGGTGATAGCTCGTGAGCGGCGTCGAGGCGTTGTGCAGCTCGGTACAGTGGCGATCGTGGCGAGCTGCAGGCGCCTTGAGAGACACCTGCGCAGCGTGGCGGCGATGTCTCGCGCGCCAGCGTCCGGATCCGGGAGCCGTCGGGCTTGAAGCGGGCCAGCACCTTGGTGGTGCAAACTCGCAGGGAGCGCGTTGGGACGAAGGAACGATCAACCCAGCTCGTCGCGCGGCAGCGGCGATCGTCGAGACTCAGTCACAAGTCCAGACAAGCACCGTCAAATAGTGGCACCGCCGAGTGGAGAAGACGCCGGCTTTGGTAAAAAGACGGCCTAATGGGCAAGGAAAAACACCGTCGGGAAAAACACACGACCAAGGCTGATGTCGCGAAACAGGTTGATGCGGAGAAGCGACGGACACGTCGAACAGGAATGGACGAGCTGCCGAGAGTATGCGCACATCTGAAACATCAGTGATCTGACTGTTAGCTAGACTCGACTCTTTGCGTCGACCTCCCAGAAGCGCGGGCAATGAGCTGCAGGTGCGAAAGAGATCGGCGAGACCGCAGGTTGCCCTTCGTCCGAGTTGCTACGCGTACCATGTCACGTTCCTCCCCGCCGCAGTATAGTCGCGACGGGTCATGAGGGCTACGAGCCAGTGCTGATCGTGATACCGGCAGGCTCGTAACCTCGACACTCACCCGCTCTGTGGATACCGATATACGAGGCGGTCGCACGCAGGCGAGTGTACCTGCTGCCCGTTGACGATCGACGCGGTGGCCCGTGTGAGTCGGCGCCGAACGCCGCGTTGACTTCCGTGACGTGTCGTGCGCGTGTCGCTGCAGGGGCAGGACGCCGCGGTCGCCAGGCGATGGGGTGGGGAGAGGCGAGACGCCGCTGAGCGTGTGCAGTGGGGCGTGGCCGGGCGAGTTTGCCCTACCAGGAGCGGCCCGACCTGATGTCGCGACCTGTGCCTGCTGATCGCGGCGACTGGAGCGAATGCGCGGTTCTCCGGGCACTCCGCTGGAGGTGGGGCGCGCGCGTTCCTGCAGAGAACGGCTGCCGGACACTGGTCGAGCGGGTCAACCGTGCGGCAGCCGCGGCGCCGCATGCCGCGGCTCGCCGCGCTTGGTATGTGCCTCGGCGTCGACCTGGCAACTGCACGACGCGTTCCGGGTTTCCGGGCTGCACGGAGTGCCGCGTACGCGACCTACAAACCGGCAGCTACCTGCTGAACCACGCCTGAGCGGTACCGACGCCGCGGCCGGCAGCGGTGTGTCGTTCGCCTTGGCACCTAGTCCCGAGGACTTCCTGCGCGTCCGCCACAGACGCGCTGCCGGCCTGCACCTGGTCGGGGACTGGATACGGTCTCGGAGGAGCACGCCGAGCTGGACGTGGAGCGAGCACGAAGAGCCACAGTAAACGGACCCGGGCTGGCGCGACTGGTGCGGCGCGAACGCGTCACGTGCCTGAAGGTCAAGCTGCGCGGCACGGACCGAGCGTGGGACTACTGCCGGCTCCTGCAGGTGGGCTCGATGGCCAACGACGTAGGCGCGGGAGGTGTGGCGTGCTGTCGCCAGATCTTCAACTAGCACGGTCACCGACAAACGCCTATGTGACGCATCCTCCTCGACCGCTCGCTGCGCGAGCAGCCGCGGTCTACGGGCATGCTCCTGTACGTGGAGCAGCCCTTCCCGTACGACTGGAACGCGACGCGAGGCGTAGGGGACGAAAATGCGCAGCGTGCGGCTCGTCAAGCGCGTGCGTCGGATGGGACGAGAGCTGCACGACTGGGAGATGGTGCGCTGGTGCGTGAGCGCGGCGGGAGCC